AGTTGAAAGCAATCACACACAGTCTGTTTCTGCAGGCCTGGTCTGCAGAAGCAGCAGGTGCTAGTCCCACGTGTCATCTGGCCCAGGAACTCAGTCTGCTTCTAGTGGCTGTGGCTATGCGGGTCTCAAGCCATCAGGTGAGTGTCATGCAGTTTTTCTCAAGGAGTTTTCTGGTCTTATTCAGAGGCTTGGAGCCTCTTAAGGTAAGTAGAGGGGAAAGAGAATCCAGGCTGGTCCTGGCTCTCTCCAAGGCCATCCTCCTTCTAAGACCTGCTGATAGGAAACCCTATCCTTCTCAAGGATATCCAAGTGGCTGCATCCAGTGAAAATGACACACTGGAGGAAGCTTGGCTATGACAATTATGAGTGATAATGTGTCTCATGTCTGGCCCCGCATAACTTTGCATGGTTCTTGCCAAAGGAAGAAGCCTGCAAGCTCAAGAAATAGCATAGGAGCACTTTAATCCAAGGCCAAGTGTCCCCTCCTGCCTGGGCTCTTAGGTCCCTAGACAAGTCTGCCTCAGCCTGCAGATAAATTCAGATGTACCTGCTCAATAGTCTGGGTGCAGATGGGGCTAACTCCCATGATCGAATCTCACTTCTTTTTGTACCTATCAGCAACATTTTTGAGTGTAATACTCTCCTCTTTGAAACTGTTTTGTTTTGTAGGGAGGCTACTTCTCCGATCTTCTCCCTTTAAATGCACTCCAAGAAAATGAAGTCAGAGCAAGCAAATAAAATGAATGGTTTCTTAAAAATATATTCCCTGGGGTTGGTGTGCAGGGCATTCAGCTCTTGGATCTGGATGCTCCTGTCCATATTAATGGTGGAGTGACTTAGCTAGAGGAAGACCCAATCAGAGGGAAGGAGTCTCTCCTGCATCCAGTCCCACCCTCTGTAGCTCTTGGTGTTATCTGAAGGCCTCTTCATCTGAAGGCCAGATTTCCTTATCGTGTGCCATTAAATTGCGCAGTCATGGAATTTAGAGCTAAAACATAAAGCAAAGATCTTCCATGTTAACGTTGTGTGTGGTACTAGATTCCCCTTGCAGCAAGGGTTTTTCTCTGGAACAAAGAAAAGATATTTTGCTCTTCCTGCTTTTCATAGGGGTCAGGGAAGCCCAGTGTGTAGGTCCAGGTTTCACTGTGTAGGAGGTTGCTGGGTGGAAATCCGCAGTATCCAATTCAGTAGCCGCTCACCATATGTTGCTGTTAAGCACTTGAAGGGTGGCTGGTCCGAATGAGGTGTGCTGCGAGTGTAAAGTACACACTGGATTTCAAAGACAAAGGTTAAAACCCAGGGCCCAGCCACGGTTGCACAGTGGTAGCACAGGGCTTGGTTCCTGGGCAAACTCATATAGAGGTCGGAGGAGAGGCATAGGAGCATGGTGGGAGTAGACTCTGTTCTTGGCTTGGGATGACGTTTCATCAGTTCAAGGTTAAATAGAAGAGCAAAACCAAATGCAGTACCTCCCATAAAGATAAATGTATCTAGTTTAACAAAGGAATGTTCCTTGTTTTTGAACCTTACTGCACCATTATATACCCTCGGGGTTCATAAAAATGTTATTGCCCAGACTCACAATTGCTGAGGTCTAGCTCAGCCAGCCAGATGTCCTTATGGTGTGCCATTAAATTGCACGGTCATAGAATTTAGAGTTAAAACATAAAGCAAAGATCTTCTCTGTTAACTTTGTGTGTGGTACTAGATTCCCATTTATATTAGTGGTTTTCAAACTTCAGCATGCATCGGAATCCCATGGAAGGCTTGCTAACAAGTGAATCATCCATTTGTCTGGTGGTGTTGCCTCAGCATCCATTTTTAAGGCTGATAAAAGTTGTTGGAAACCCAATGGTGCCCTCACCGTCTTTGGCCTAGTTAAAACTTCATGTGCTTTTTTTCTACTCGTTCCTTATCTCACTGACCTGAAACCCAGCACACTCCACAACTGTTGATCATGATAAAAATAAAATGGTCAGAGTCACGTAAATAAGCTTCCCCCTATGTGAATATTTTCCTTAGCTAATTCCTCTTTCTTCACCTCTGTCTCTGAAAAGACTAAAGGACAATGCCCACACAATGAGAAAAGCTTAACCTGGTATCTTCTCTTTCTCCCTCTATCTTTTACACACACCCTTTGGGTGAGCTCCTTGCTATCTCTGAACTTCCTGTCAATTTCCCATCAGCATCCCTACCATCTCTGAGATCTGTGAGTAATAAATTTCTTCAGTTTGATGCATTTTAGTTATATCTCTTTGGCCACTCTGGACAGAGAGACCTCAAGACCAAATTAGTAAGCAATCATAATAGAAATCACTGCAAAGTGTTTCTTGGAGTGTGAATTTCCTAACAAAATGTCTTAGCTTATTTGATCTGATCTGAAAATTCTTCTTTTTACCTTATATCCTAAAGAATATTTTTGCTGGATATAAAATTCTGCCTTGACAGTGGTGTCCCTTAGGGACTTTCAAAAAGTTGTTCCTCTGTTTTCTGACCATTATTTCCAAAAAGAAGTCTGCTTTTACTTGAATCACTGTGTTTTTAGGTAATATGTCATCTTATCTGGATGCATTCAAGATGTTCTCTTAATCTTCAGTTTTGAGTAGTTTGATTATAATATGCTTAGGAGATTTTCTCCATATATATGCTGGCTGGGTTTCTATAAAAGTCTTAAATCTTTCATTTATGGCTCTCTTTTGAAGCTTGGGATTTTGGGGGCTATGGTTTCTTTAAATCCTTTATTCCTCTTTCATTTGCTCTATTCTTCTTCTGGGACTTCAATTGCATGTTAGACTTGCATCAGTTAAAGGTTGTCTCTCAGGCTTGGTTCATTTTTAAAATTTTAATATATCGAATCATTTCTATGAATTTATTTTTAAGGTTTGTTTCTTTCTTTCTTCCCTGGGGGGTTGGGTGGGTGGGGGAGACAGTACCTCTAGCAGGGTCTTTTTTTTTTTTTTTGGGGGGGGGGGGAGACAGTTCCCTTAGCAGGGTTTTTTTTTTTTTTTTTCTTCTGAAATTTTTTTTTATTAATTTACATTCATTCCCTGAGCATCATCACAACATTCTAAATGTGGTTTCCCATCTAGAATATACTGCATAGTGGCTTAATAATGCATGTTATCATCCATAATATTCCATTTCTACTTTCATATATATGTTTTTTACCCCATGTCTAGCCCTCTGCCCTATTCCACTCTCTTATTACACTATCTCTGCTGTCTACCGTTGTCTTCAATCCCTTTTCCCCCAACATTTCGTTGGTCACACAATATCATAAGTAATCTAACTACTTTCAATAGCAAGACCAGCCGATGGTTTCAAGAAAAGCAGTTTTGAACTGGTAAGGATATTTCTTTGAAACTTAAAGCCTAGAAACAGGTTAGTATTCTGTTCAAATAGTAGGAACATGAATCTATTGATAGCTGAAGACAGGACAAAAATCCTTAAAACCGGACAACAAAGCTTAGAAGAAAAGCAGCAATATTTTAGTCAAGTCGTAGAATACTGTTTCATCAGTTCAGTCTCATGTACTTAATCTTTCTTCTGTATCTGTTGAGGTTCGATGTTCCAGATTGAAATCTGGGATGTAATACTCAACTCCAGCTTTTGGCCCTACAATTAAGTTGCCCATTTTCTTAGTTTCTGAACTCTTATTTCTGTGTGTCTGCATTTAATTTTACTGACATAGCACTCCCTTAAGAACTTCTTGGAGATCCGGTCTGGTGCTGGTAAATTCTTTCAGGTTTTGTTTATCTGGGAAAGTTCGTGTCTTTTCTTCCCAAATGAACGATAACCTTGCTGGGTACAGAATTCTCGGTTGAAATTGCTTTTCCCTTAATACTTTGAATACATTTTCCCATTCTCTCCTCGCTCTCATTGTTTCCGATGAGAGGTCTGCCGTTAGTCTGATGGGATACCCTTTGTAGGTAACTTGCCTTTTTTCTCTTGCCAGTCTTAGTATCTTGTCTTTGTCTGTGGTTTTGGTCAATCTGGCTATAATGTGTCTTGGAGAAGATCTTCTTGGGTTGATTCTATTTGGGGTCCTCTGTATTTCTTGGGACTGAATCTTTGAGTGCCTCTCCAGGTTTGGAAAATTTTCTTGTAAGATTTCATGGAATAGATTATCAATGCCCTTATGAGTCTCTTCACCTTCTGGGATGCCTATTATCCGGATGTTTGGACGTTTGATGGTATCTAGTACTTCTCGCATATTATTCTCAAATTTTTGGGCCATTTTCTCAGTCTTCGCGGTGGATTTTTCTAGGCCAACCATTTTCTCTTCTACATTAGAGATTCTATTTTCTGTATGATCTAGTCTGCTTTTAATACTTTCAAGGGAGATTTTGACTTCTTGTATTATAGCCTTCATCTCTAACAGTTCCATCTGATTCTTTTGTAAAGTGTGAAATTCCTCTTTTAGATCTAGCATGAATTTCCTCACCTCCTGGAACTCTTCAACTCCTTTCTCCTTCCTCTTCAGCAGTTCCTTGTCTCTCTTCTCTTCCATCTCTGTTAGCTTTGCCATTATGAATGTTCTGAATTCTTTATCAGACATTTCCATGATTTCCATTGAACTGTGTGTGGATAAAGAGGAGCTATCCTTTTCCCTTGTGGGAGAGGTATTTTCCTGCTTCCCCATATTTCTTGTGGTCCTGCAGCGATTTCTAGTCATCTGGTGGATGGTCGGTTTCTTCCCAAACTTGGAAGTTCAATCACACAAGTTTTGAATGCTGGAGGCCCAGTTATCAGTGGGACATCTTCCTTTCTCCCCAAATGGCTAGATCGCAGGAGCCATGGAGCTGTCTGTCTCTTGAAGAAGGGCTGTTCTGGGGCTCTAGCAGGGTCTTGATGTCACGATCCAGTCCAGCTTCAGACAGCCCTGGGTCATGGGCACAATCAGACCTGGCATAATCAGTGAGATCTCCAAATGAGTGTCAGCCTTGCCGACTGACAGCGTCTGGTCCCTCTGTAAATTTATCTTTAGTTTCACTGACTCTCCTTTATCACCCTCAATCTATAGTTGAGGGAAACCAGTGACTTGAAACAAACAAACAAAAAAGTTAATTTAGTTCTAAAATCGTGGCTTTAAAATTTTCATATTTTACTTGTTTCTATTTCTGTGTTGATATTTTCT